CCCAGGGGAGCGGAAGGAGGCCTGCCCGGCCGTCTGTCCTTCCCTCCCGGCCCCGCCCGCCGGCCGCAGAGATGGACAGTGTGGTCCTGGGGGGACACCGTCCCTCGAGCCCTCAGCCTCCGGGAGGACGGGAGAGGCCGCCTGCGGATTGTCTCGCTAAAGACAACACGTTTCCCCAGCACTTTCCTGGGCACGACCTTGGGTATTTTCCTTGGCCGGGCACCAACACAGCTCAGCTCGCCTGGAGGGGGAGGGAGTGAAGCTGTTAGCAATTCTCAGAGAAAAGGGGGGGCGGGTGGCTCAAGCAAAACCCCAGGGCAAGGCCTCTGAGAGGTAGGCCTGGTCCAGGCCCCGCCATGCCTCCTGGTCCCAATGCTTGTCCCCCTTCCCCCCAGGCCTCCTCCCCTGCCCCCACCCCCACCTCCCAGCCCTCCTACCCGGCCCCCTCGGATAGGCTGGGACCAGCACTGTTCCCTGTGGGCCCCCAGCCACCAGCCGATTGGTCGGTTAGGTTTGTTTATATGCTTATTTCAAAGGGCCCATCTGAGCCACTGGGTGATCCAGGGCCTGTTTGCTCGTTTCTTTAATCGACTTTATTTTCTCAGAGTTTTAGGTTCACAGCCACACGGAGAGGAAGGAGCAGAGGCTTCCCACGTCCACAGCCGCCATCACAGGCCACACGGAGCAGTTTCCCTCCCCACGCCCTCCGGGCTCGGCGAGCTCGCCCCTCCCCCCATGGCCACCTGCCTGTCCCTGTCCCGTCCCCAAGGTCTGTCTGTCCCAGGACGTCACGTGGTATGTGGCCTTTCGGATTGGCCTCTGTCCCTTGGTCACAGGCATTCGGGTTCCTCGCGGCGTTTCATGCTCGAGAACTACCTTCCTGAGCTGAGTGGCGTCCGGGGGCCGGGACGGGCGGCAGCGTCCCTGCTGAAGGAGGTCTGGTTGTTGCAAGTTCTGTCATCAGGGGGAAGCTGCTACAAACATCCAGGGGCAGGGTTTTAGGTTTTTTAAAATATATTTTTATTGACTTCAGAGAGGAAGGGAGAGGGAGAGAGCAAGAGAAACATCAATGATGAGAGAGAACCACTCATCAGCTGCCTCCTGCACGCCCCCGACTGGGAATCGAGCCCACAACCAGGGCACATGCCCTGACCGGGAATCGAACCCTGACCTCCTGGTTCATAGGTCGACGCTCAACCCCTGGGCCACGCCGGCCGGGCCATGTGCAGGTTTTTGTGTGGACACGGCTTTTCCACTCCTTGGAATAAATACTGATGCTGGGTTGCTGGGTTGCAGGGTAAGGGTAGGTTTAACTTGTCAGAGTCGGCCCTGCTGTCTCCCAAGGTGGCTGCGCCCCGCCTGGTGGTGAGTGGGGCTCCCGCTGTTCCCCGTCCTCGCCAGCGCTGGGTGCTGCCATGTTCCTGGTTCGGGGGTCCTGACAGGTGTGCGGTGCTGCCGCGGCTGCTTGGTTTGCATTTCCCGGAGGGCACAGGCTGCCCAGTGTCTTCTCACAAGTCTTTGCCTCGAAGGCATCTCCTTCCCCTGCGAGGACAGCGTCCCTGCAGCACCCAGGCCTGGCCTCACCCCCAGCCCCAGCCCTCAGCTTCCTGAGGGCCCAGCCCGGGCTCCTGTCTGCTCCCCCTTGGGTCGGAGGTTGGCCTGAGGAGCCCGGCACAGCAGGGCACGAGCCGTCTGCTGTGGGATCACCACCCTCCCCGAGCCCTGAGCTCCTCGTCTGTGAAATGGAGGAAAGGACAGGGCCTCCTTTCGAGAGGTTTCCCGAGTAGCCAATGTGCCAACACACCCTGTATGCACCACATGCTGGAATATGCGGCACAATCCGGCACGTGGGGCTCTCGTAGAGGAGATGAGCTGTGGCGATGATGATTGATGATGGATTATTCCATGTGCTGCGTGGAGGAAGGCCCGACCCCGTGACCCAGAGAAGAGCTGAGCCAAGACAGGGCCGCCGAGAGGTGCTGCCCACACACCAGGGTGCCTCCTTGCTGTGCTTCAGGAGGAGTGTTTTTTTTCTGAAATGGGTGCCTGGGAGTTTGGGAGCGAAACGTGGAAAAGGAAAGTGAAAAGAAACGGACCCCACCAGGGTGGCCGCCCGATACATTCCACCTCCCACCGAGAGCGTTTGGCTGGAAAAACACAGTCACCGTGAAGTAAATTTAGATGCAGAGAAGTGACCGCACGTTGGGCCCTCACCCAGGAGTCACGCTGGTCCGCGGCGAAGGGGTCAACGTGGAAGCCGAGGTCCGGGCCCTGGCCCGGCCTGCCCTCCTTCCTCAGCCGCTCACGCAGACAATGACTGGCCCTGGACCAGGCCCAGCGAGACCTTGTTTAGCGCGCTTCCTGCCCACTTCACCGGCACAAACAGCTATTCTGGGTTTGGGCTGCTCTCCAAGTTGGGTTACATGACGGTAAACAAGTTTTTTTGGGTGAGTGAAGTTTTAACTGGGCACTTCGCAAAACACTTTAAAAAAGATGATTTGGAGAAACGATTAAGTGGAGTGAGAGACGCACACGGGGCTGTGGAAACGTTCTCTGCCGCTCTGTTTACACTTGGCACCGGGGGAGCCCTGGGACCTGTTTCCGACCAATCGTGAATGTTTCCCAGGGACCCGGGGCTTTCTTCTGGAGGCGAGCGGTAATTGCCCATCTTTTTTTGAGGATAAAAATGGAAAGTGAAAAGTTCAAGGAGTCCGTGAGCTGCTTGACTCTGCTGAGACATTCATCAGGATGTACCCGGCTGCCCGGCTAAGGGAGGCCACAGACGCCGAAGACGTGAATTCGCCCGAGGGACAGGCGCAAGGATGGCTCCCATGTCCCCCGTAAATCTGCCGGGTGCGCCCGGCTCTCCGACTCCAACACAGTTCTCATGAGAACACCGTGTTCTCCACACAGCCCCGTGCTCCCCGTGGGAACCGGCGGGCTCGCCAGGGCACACGGGGTCACGCTGTGGTTTATTTATTACAATTTTCTCAGTAGATGCATCACGGCCCACTGACTGTGGGCAGGCCTCCCCGAGGATGAAGGAAAACACGGAGCGGCACGCCAGAGGCCTGAACCAGAAAAATAACTGTCACCTTTTCTTGCTTTTTTTTAGGAGAAAGTTCTATGCCAGCTGCTCCCGACAGACTTCAGCCAGGGCAGTCGGCTATTTGCTGGGAAAATGCAGGAGGTACCATACGCCCTGCCAGGCCTTTGGCGCGTCCCGCGGTCCGGCCACGCCGGTGTGCATGTGGGTGACCCAGAGCAGCCACCTGAGCACCCCGCCTCCCCCCCAGGCTGATGCTGAAAAGGTGAGGATGGAGCCTCCAATGGGAGGCTGGGCCGCCTGGCTGACGAGGGGCGAGAGCGCCACCTGCCGGCGCCCGGGCAGGGAGCCCTGGCTTTGATATGGATGCGGAGGGGATCAGGGAGATCACATTGGCCTCAGTCTGAAAGCATAAGGCCTGCCTCCAGGCACCCCGTCAGTGCAGAGCCCCGCCAGAGCGAGAGCGTCCACTGTGAGAGCAGCAAGGCCGTGGCCCCTGATGCGTTGCTGTCAGGGCGACGTGGGTCTCCTTCCCCGAACCCGCCGTTCACAGCTGGGAGTCGTGGATGAGGTGGGAGAAGAAGGAACAAACCCAAGTCGAAGGGAAGCCGGTGAGGCTCTGGGCGGGGGTTGTTGGAAATAAAGGCCAGAATCCCGAGGCCCCCCCACCCCCCGTCCCCAACAGTTCAGCCTGGGCTTCGTCCTCCGGGCTCCGTTTTCATTGATTTTCAGAGAGAAAGAGGAAGAGGGAGAGAGAGAAACAGTGATGAGAGAGAATCATTGTTCGGCTGCCTCCTGCACCCCTCACTGGGAATCAAGCCCACAACCCGGCCATGTGCCCTGACCGGGAATCAAACCCGGGACCTGCTGGCTCATAGGTTGAGGCTCAACCCCTGAGCCACGCCAGCGGGGCTGAAACGCTCCATCTTTTAACATAAGTTAGAGACAAACCATCGCCAGCACGTGCGGTCGCCGTGACAACCTCCCTTATCCTGGCTGCGGTGTTGGCGTGCTGTGTTCTCTTAGCTGCAGCTGAGTGGGCACCCGAAGAACAAAAGCCATGTTTGTCATTCTGCTCCCTCCCCCCTGTCTGCCGCCCCACAGCGAACTCCAGCTGGAAGGACCGTGTTCCACGAGTCCAGACCCAGTTACGATGGAAACCCTGACAGGCCAGGCGGTGATCGCCCTCCTGCCACAGGCATGAGTCTCTGTGGCTGGTCATGGGTTTTTCCGTCGTCATTTTCCACGGGGCCTCCTCCCAAGAGGTCATTTAAGCCTGGGTTGCAGCGTTGCCTGCCCGGGGCCTTCAAGCTGAGGGTCTGTGACTTTGGCGGCCAGTACCCGCGGGGTCGTCCGTCAGACTGACTTCTACAGCCTGTGGGTGGGGTGGGGCTGGTTCCAGAGCCATGGTCTCCCAGGTTTGTAACTACGCATCCCCTCTCCTCGCTGGCTGGGCGGCTGCGTGAGGGAGGGAGTGAGTGCCGCTCACAGGTCTCAGGCGACAGCCACCCTGCGGGGCCTGAGGCCCTTGTTTGGGCCGACTCCTCACGTCCAGCATCCCTCCCGGCGCTGGGCACACGGGGCCGACACCGCTCAAGATGCTGTGGGAAGTTGAATCCAGTAGATTGTGTGATTTTTTGTGGAGCCTGTTACAGATGTCCCCCCTTTCCCTCCTGCCCTCCCTCTCCCCAGCTCCCCCCTCCGCCCCCCACCTTCACCACATCGCTGTCTGTGTCCGTGGGCCATGCATATGTGCATATATGTTCTCTGGTACCCCACCCCCCCATGTCAGTCTTCCCTGCCATCCATACCTCTGGTCCTCCTGTTCGTCAGTGTATTGGGTTCATTAGATTCCACACCTGAGTGAGATCGTGCGATATTTGTCTCTCTATTTTAAAGACAGCAACCGGACTAAGGCTCAAAGGAGAATCCTCGCTTGGCGCCGAAAGACCTCCGTGTCCTCACATTTAGTGGAGACGGGGCCCGGGACGCGGGAGGAATGCGACATCCTCCCGCCTGGCCTCGTGAGGAACCAAGCCGACGCCCCCGCGCGGCAGGCTCCGCGGCCCCTGGACTTGGGCAGCCTGAGCAGACGAGGCATGGGTCTGATTCCCAGTCAGGGCACATACCTGGGTGGCAGGTTCGGTCTCCGGTTGGGACACGTACAGGAGGCAGTCAATCGACGTTTCTCTCTCTCCCTTCAGCGAGCATATCCTCGGGTGAGAACCGAGGAAAACAAGAGAGCCATCAGAGAGCTCTGTTCCTGTCTCCACCCCATGAGGACACAGGAGAAGGGGGCCTCTGCCAGAAAGGAGCCCCCAGGAGCCGAACCTCTGGGACCTTGATCCTGGCCTCCAGCCTCAGAGCCGTGAGAAACAAGCACTGCTGTTTCACCCCCATCTGTGGTCTTTGGTGACAACACCCACATTCATGATGAGAGCTTTGCGCCAGGCCCTGTGCGGGGCTCGGCTAGATGTTCAAACCTTGGTGTAAAGGTACCACAGCTTTTTACATGATGCCGAGTGAGATAAGCCAGTCAGAGAAGACAAGTGTCACAGGATCTCACTCGTGGGGAATCTAAGTGACAGTTAAAATGGATGAACAAACTAGATCCAGAGACTTGGAAGCAGGGAACAGAGTGCGGACTCTCCGAGGGAAGGCGGGGGAGGGTGACCTTTAAGCCATGGGCACAGACAATAGGGCGGTGAAGGCCTGGGTGGGGCGGGCTGGGAGGGGTCAATAGGGGAAAAGGGGGCATCTGTAATACTTTCAACAATAAAGATAGAAAAAAGGATTTGCAGCCCTTCACTCGCCTTTGAGGGGGCTCATTCACATTTAGGAAGAGGGTACCAGAGGGCAAAGAGCTGTGGGGTACCAGCCTGGGCGGGGGGCACAGGGGCACAGGGGGGGCGGGGAGTTGAGGAAGGCCCCCAGGAGGTGGTGGTGGAGTTGAGCTTTGGAGGACGAAAGGGGGCGTAGGGTCTGTGGGAATCGGAGTCCGAGAGAGAGCCAGCTTCCTGCCTGGGGAGGAGGGTGGGAGGAACCACTATCCCACACAGCTCAGTGCGACTCGCTCAGGATGGATTTTGTTCTGTCGGCAAACCCTCCTTCCTTCCCATCGGCCTGTTGTGCAAAGGCTCCCAGCCAACGCTGTCAACTGGCTATGTGGTTGGCAACACAACACAGCACAACACAACACAACACAACACAACACACAATGCAACGCAACACAATGCAACACATAACACAATTAGCTGGTGATATGCATTTGCTCCTAGCCTGTGTGAGCCGGGCACAGCCCCGTGGGGGCCTGGGTATCGTCCCTGAACACAGAGGGGTTTGGAAAAGGTCAAAAGGGTCCCCAGCCCCCAGCCCCTCCCCCGTGTGTGTGTGTGTGTGTGTGTGTACTGTCTTCCACTTGGCGGGTCCTGATGGGATGTCCTCAAGGAAGGACTTGCAGAAACGAGGGAAAGACTGACCCACACTCCAGGGAAGAGCTAGGAAGACAGGGAGCAGGAGGGGAGGGGGGCCTTAACTCCTTGTTGAATGAGCTTACATCACGGTATCTCCTGTCACAGGGAGCGAGAGCCACGCGGGGAGATGAAGGGAAGGTGCAGAGGCCGCAGGAGCAGCCTGGCCGGGACCTGCTGCCTGGCCGCAGGAGGCTGTGCGTGGAGCTGAATAGTGGCCTCGGGGGAGTCTTTGAGTGACAGCTGCCTCCTCAGATGGTTGATGATCAGCCTACCTTTCTCATCCTCTTCCAGGAAGGGCGATGATCTCACCTCGATCCTCATAAAGGAATGTGGTTTGGACACTTTTTCAGCCAGGCTGGCGTGGCTCAGGGTTGAGCGTCAACCTATGAACCAGGAGGTCGCGGGTTGATTCCCGGTCAGGACTCAATGCCCAGTACGGGGTGTGCAGGAGGCAGACAACTGATGTTCCTCTCCCTTCATCCCTCCCCCTTCCTCTCTCTAAAAATCAATAAAAACATATTTAAAATGAAAGGATACTTTCTTATAAGGAGCAAAGCATAATCGCTCTGCCAGGAGCAGCGAACTGTCACAAGAACCCAGAAGAACCCAGGACTCTGTGTCACCTGGGGCTTCCGAGAAGATGCAGGGACCTGCAGTTCACAGCAGGGAGCAGCCGCCTGGAGGGAGCCTCCC